CCGCGGCCGCCGAGGGGCTGTTTTCCTTGGGACGCGGTTAGCATGAAGCGAGGGTGTCGGCCACGGCGGACCACAGGGAAGCCCAGGGAACAAAAGGGCTGAGGCGGTGTGGCTCGGTGACAGCGCGCTTGCCTGGCACGGGCCAAGCCCCAAGTTAAGTCCTAGTGCAGAAAAAAAGGGAAAATTCGGACAAATGCAACCCACGTGAGAGCACCCCACGTGTCACTCTTCCTGTCGCACAAACTGTGACGTTCCTTCACCAGCTTCGAGTCCTGGGAGGACGCCCTAACCCCGCTGTGCACTGGAGGCACCCAGAACAGAGTGCCTGCTTCAGGCCGCGAGGCAGCACTGGGCTCACCGGTCTCTCGTGTCAGGCTCTCACTTCAAAGGTCAAAATCAGGAATTCATGTTAGGACAGGAACAGACCGTGGCCCATCTCCGCGATGGAAGCTACTGCCCAAGCAAAGAATCGAGCAGTCTCTACCCCTGCATGACACGGCCAGAGCCCGGATCCCGTAACACCGATGCCGGCTGAAAGAGCCTAGCTAGAGAGCGAGCGTAGTGGGGCCTGGGCATTGCGCTCCAGGAAGCACGGCCACTCTAGGGGACAGCAGCTCAGCAGACCGCGTGGCCTCCCTGGCGTACAAGGACAGAGTTTCCCTCTTTTCCCTGCGGGGATGGCTTTGCAGGTGCAACCATATGTCAGAATTTAGCAAACTGCAGACGTTAGACTTACAGCATCTTCCCTGTCAACGGCAACGCACCGCAGTAGACCAGTTCAGACAGGCAGGCGGAACTGCCTGCGCCCAGCGTTGTAAGACCCGCCCAGCGTTGTAAGACCCGCTCAGCGTGTGTGAGACCCGTGCGACTCCCAGCCCCCGCAAACCCCTCACACCCATAAAGACGGGCAAAGGAGCTCGAGACAGCCGTGGGGTTTTCAATGGTTGCATGGTGAACACTCCTGGCAGGGTGTTTGCAGTTTCATGATACCAAGAACCCTGTAAATGCGGAATTGTGCCGCCAGGTTCCCACACGGAGGGGTTAAGGTGGCATGCATATAGCTCCCTTTTCCTGTGAAGGTCTTATTACAAGGTAGATGCACAGCACACATTTGTCCAGCAATGAGATTGGAAGGGAGTGGAAGAGTGGACAGAGCTCTGCCTGGGTTCAAATCCAGGCTTTGCTGTTTAAGAGCTCATCAGCCTCCAAGGCGAGGAGGTTGCGCGAGACAACCTCCGATGGCGGTTTCGAGGCATAAAGTGTCTTGAAATCTGGGTTCCAAGTACAACTGCCACTATCCAGAAAACGCAGTATCGATAAAACGTCCCTGTCTCATAAGCAAGGAGAGCCAACAGGTCCTGAGGCAGGGGGTCAGGTAGCGGCGCTTCCTGCCGCGTGAATTGTCTCCGCCGGCGACTCGTAGAGCGCGTCGAGCTCGGCCGCCCCGAGGCTCCTGATTGGCTCCGTGCCGCGCGCTTGGCGTCCAGGCGCTTGCGCGGGTTGCTGGGCTGGCGGTGGCGATGTCCAGCCGGTCTAAGCGAGAGTCGCGGGGCTCGGCCCGCGGGAAGCGCGAGTCCGAGGCGCGGAGCAGCTCGGGTCGCTCAAAACGGGAGCGCGAGCGCGAGCGGGAGCCTGAGGCG